AGCCAGTGAGCGGCCGGTCTATATGTGGGATCCGAACCCTCGGCGGGAGCGCCACCACACTTCCCAAGCGGCGCACTGTAGCGGTGCGCCACCGGGCCAGCCCTAAAAATTCACATTTTTTAAGAGTATCAACAGTTGATGACTATATCAGTGTGTGTATGTATGCATATGTGTGCATACATAAACATCTATTTCGAGAAATCAACTGAAAACAAATTTTTTTTAATGTAGGGATTTGAAACAACTAAGATGGTTATTCCACTTAAGAGAACTTATCATCTGTTATTTGGAAAAAGAATTGAAATTGGGCTTCGATGAAAGACTTAGACTCTGATAAAAGACAAAGACTCTGAAAAAAGCTAAGTAGTTATAACAAAGACCTGCCCATCCTGGGTACTGTAACAAGTGCTTTTTAAAAATATATACATATTTACATAGAATTATTTATTTATTTATTTACACAGACTAATAGCAAGTGCTTTTTATTTATTAGCTATTAAATCCTGAGAACCATACAAGGTAGGCATAACCACTGCAGTTTAGTGGATGAGGAAACCAAGTCTCCGAGAGGCTAGGTAACAGTCAAAACAGACTTGAGCCAGCCCTTTTCCCTGTACATTATAATCCCTGGACGGCTAAGAAGGGATTAGAGGCATCAATACTGGAAGGCATTCATTTAGATTTCTTGATGACAAATTTATCCATCCACCTTGGCTTAACATTAGAAACTCTGTTATCAAATATAATTAACAAAGATACAGAGAAACAGAAAAGAAGACGGTATCTATTTGGAAAGTTTGTCTTAAAATAGGGTTTAAACAGAAAATGTGGATCAGACAGCATGTAACTGGAACTGTGTGATTATGTTAGTACCTGTTCTGCCACAAGACTGGCAATTTCTTCATAAGTCTTTCCTGCTTCCGTTATTGCATCATTGAGATCTGTTTCACCTGAAAATGATCATTGTTTTATCAATGGTTATAAGTATTTTCTTCAGAATTTTATTATAAATTTTACTGTTAAATTTTATTATAGAAAATTTCAAAATTTCAAAAGTACTGATAATAGTACAATGACCCCCATCACCCATCACTAGCTTCCCAAGGGCAGCTACCGGCCAGTCTTTACCTCTACCCTCCACTCCCTAACTCCACCTTCCACTGGACATATATTTCATCCATAAATTTTAGCTAAAAAAATAGGGACTCTTTAAAAAATAAGGACAGTATCATTACCACATCGAAGAAAAGACCATCACTCGGATATAAATGACCCAGCCCGTGTGCAGACCTCCTGGCATCTCAGGGTGAGGTGGCTGCTTGAATCAGGAAGCAAAGAAGGTCCACATGGCATACAGCCGATGTATTTCTTAAATCTATAGGGTCTTCTTCCCTGCCTCCTTTTTTCTTGCAGATTTCTTTGTGGGGGGTCCTTTGCTTTAGTACCCACATTCTGGATTTTGCTGACCACGTCTCTGTGGTGATACTTAACACATTCCTCTGTCCCTACATTTTCTTTACACTAGCCATTAGATCTAGAGGCTTCATCAGATTCAGAAGACACAATTTCCACTTACTTCTATCTCTTATGATAGAAGCCACGAGCAATCGCTGTCTAGATCTTTTATTTTAGTATGGGTTTGCGGAATGATGCTATCCTACTCCTATCGCTCCTTCTTCATCAGCTGAAATACTTGTATAAAGAGAAACTTTCCTTTACCAATTTTTTGGTTAACCTGAGGTATAGTTTGAGAAATACTTGTATAAAGAGAAACTTTCCTTTACCAATTTTTTGGTTAACCTGAGGTATAGTTTTAACCTGAGGTTTTACCAATTTTTTGGTTAACCTGAGGTATAGTTTGAATAGGAAAAGGTTAAATGCTTGACTCTTTCTCTATAGTTTTCAGAAAGAGCTTGAAACCATACCATCCTCCAAAGGTAACTGAGATTAATTTTTTTTAAGTATCTTTATAATTCTGAATTTATATATATTTGATATACTCTGTTCCACAGCAATCATTATTTTCACTAATTCTCAAATTTTCCCTTCATTGGCCAGTGGAAAGCTCTTCAAGTTGGCATATGAGTTCTTTTGATAGGAGCCCTGGGGTTGATTTTGGTGGAAGGTGGTGTTTAGAGATCACCTGAAGAGTGGTGCTAAGGGATGCTTCTTAATACTGGACAGGCTAATTGTTTCTAGGCCTTTTTAGTGAACACAGCAAAGCAAACTGTATTTTCTTTAAAAAGGCAAAATATATAATGAGCTCATACTGATACATTGGTCCTCTGTATCTGTGGGCTCCGTATCCATGGATTCAACCAACTGCGGGTTGAAAATATTTGGAAAAAAATTACATCTGTACTGAACGTGTACAGATTTGTTGTCATTATTCCCTAAACAATACAGTGTAACAACTACGTACATAGCATTTACATGATATTAGGTATTAGAGGTAATCTAGAGCTGACTTAAAGTATATGGGAGTATGTGTGTAGATTATATGCAAATACTATGCCATTTTATATCACAGAGTTGAGCAATCACGGATTTCAGTATCCAAGGGAGGTCCTGGAGACAGACCTAATCCCCCATGGATACCAAGCAATGACGATATTTCCAATTTAAATTCAGAACTACAGGGGCTTTCTTAATTTATTTTAAAACTTTTATTTTAAAAATCTTAAGTGCTAACAACAGGAACATGATTATATATTTGCTTTACCCTACAACATGTAAAATAGTTTAAAAGTTTTAGAATAACAATACTAATATTATATTGCTAACTATATGATAGTGAAAACAACTAAAATTTGTTTGCAGTCTTTGTGACCTTCAGGTATCTGCTCCTAGGGATGTACAGTCAAAATCCTGTTTTAAGGTGATTTAAGGTAATTCCTGTCTGTGTGGTGATGCCTTCATCTTAATGTATCAAGTCATTAGCTGTATTTTGCTTTTGATTGTTAGGGATTTTTTTCATTTTGATTTAACTTTGTTTTCAATAATTATGTAAAAATTCACATGTTTCCAAAGTCAAATCTACAAACTAAGATATAATCAGAAGTCTAACTTCTATATCCATCCCTCTCCTCCCCCACAGATAACCATTTAAATTTTTTATCAATTATATTTCCACATGGTAATTCTAAGAATATGGAACGTGGATTTATGCAGGGGCCAGGCTAACAGACTCGGTGCTGTTCCAGTGTTAGCACATGTACTGTTAAAGGAGTGGCATGACGGACAGGAACCTGGAGAAGCCCCAGACTGCAGGGACTTTGTGAACTAAGAGGTGAAGGTGGGAAGCTGTGAGCTGGACTGAAGAACAGAGAGACAGCTCTTAGGTGACGTTCAGGGAAGGTATCGCTGCAGGTAGTTCTGACATATAAGGACACCATCAGGACCAACTAGCCAAACTTCCAGCACCTCCAAAACAAATGTTCTCACCCTGCCAGCAGACCAGAGAACCGCAAAGATGAAAGCCTCCTAGATATCTGCATAGTCCTCTACAGTGGATACGGTTTGGTGAGAGACTAATTTTCTGTTCATTAAAGTATTCAGCAACTGACATTCAAAGCCCTATGCTCCTTGGGTATTAAGACACTCACCCTGGTGAATGTACCAATTCTACTATTTCTATAAGTGACAGGAGATACTCAGATTTAATAGGAGCCACCCATCTGGCAAATAGGTGCCACCTTTTCCTTCATAAAACTTGTTCTCACAAGTGTTGCCAATGTAAACAATGAACCTGGGTAGGAGCTGAAAACAATTGTGTGTTAGGAGAGACTTAAGGTAACAGGCATTTGTTACTTGGTCACATGACAATGACAAGGGAGCTTCACTGCAGTTACCGATGTCTGCAAGACCCTGAGGAGGTAACATGTGTGGGTAAGACACTAAAGGACCAATGAACAGATAAATAAAAACATACCTTGATAACCACTAGAACTAAACACTGTTGCTAAACTCTGCAAGGCCTTTCCTATCTTCTGATACTCCTTGGGTAATGCTGAAAGAGAAAAAAGAATAAGTTGTTAACTAGTCCTCTGAGTGGACTGAAATGGGATTCCACTGTTTTCTAAAAGTGATTATTTTATAACAAAAGACATTTGAAGTAATTCAAAATAGTATATATTCTTTAGTAAAATACTGATGCAAAAATGATTTTTTTAATTAATGATTTTTCCAATTTTTAATTGATTGTTCAATTGATGGTGGATGCTATTACTATCAACAACCACTTCCATATTCTCATTCTTTGTTTTTTTTAATTAATGATTTTTCCAATTTTTAATTGATTGTTCAATTGATGGTGGATGCTATTACTACCAACAACCACTTCCATATTCTCATTCTTTGTTTTTTTATTATTATTATTATTTTTAAATATTTAATTATTTATTTTTTTCCGATATACAATGTGGTTGATTATTGTGGCCCATTACCGAAACCTCCCTCTCCCCACTCCCACCCAACAATGTCCTTTCTGTTTGCTTGTCGTACCGACTTCAAGGAATTGTATTTGTTATGTCTCCTTCCCCCCTCCCCGGTTTTTTTTTCTGTGTGTGTGAATTTATTTATTTATTTTTAGCTCCCACCAGTAAGTGAGAACATGTGGTATTTCTTTTTCTCTGCCTGACTCGTTTCACTTAATATATTTCTCTCAAGGTCCATCCATGTTGTTGCAAATGGCAGTATTTCACTCGTTTTTATAGCTGAGTAGTATTCCATTGTGTAGATATACCACATTTTCCATATCCACTCATCCGATGATGGACATTTGGGCTGGTTCCAACTCTTGGCTATTGTAAAGAGTGCTGCAATGAACATTGGGGAACAGGTATACCTTCGACTTGATGATTTCCATTCCT